GAAATTAAAATGCTTCAATAGTCTTTTCAATATTAATTCATTATTATAACAGTGTATTAATTCATTGGCAAGTATAATTGCTAAATACTTTATCAATTTTAGAGATCATAAAATTCCTATTTCTCAGTTTTCTTTTTTGATTCTTGTGTAAATATCTGTTATTGGGCTGAAGCCCCTCCCCGCCCCTCCCCCAAATGGTAAAATATAAACATGTTTTATGAAAAAAATTATCTTTAGAAGCATTATTGTTCACCTAATTACAGTTAATAGGACTTCAACAATCACTTAAAGACCATTTCATATCCGTAGTTAGTTTCTTTCTTTCTTCTGAAGTCATTATCCTAATATATTTATACAAAAAAAATGTTTCGGGCTGAAGCCCCCCAAAATTAAATCCTTGATTCGTAAGTGTCTGTTATAATTGTGTTTGTTTTATTACAAATAAATTAGATGGGCTAAAGAAATATCATAGAATCAAATAACCCAAAACAGTAATTCTTGAATCTTAAATCATGTCAAAAGACTATTTATTTATTTATTTTTTAAGATCTTGTTATAATTTTATTGATAGTAAAATGCTAACACAAATTAAAAAGTATTATAATTTATTTATTTACTATGAGAAGTGTTATGTGCTATGGCTATATTTGAGTTACATATTTACAAATTCCATATTAAATGTGGATCCATTATGTACACAAACTCAATCTGGAATTCAGTAACAATAGAACACCTTATAAATATACACATTGTTGGAAACATATAAGTGAACTATTCTATATTTGTGTCTAAACGATGGAATGAAAAACTGGTGAAACCCAACTGCCTCCTTTTTTTCTTCAGAAGTTCCTCATTCTTTATGAATACTGGACTATTCTTATCTCAGTTCAATTTCCACTGCTGAGATTTTTTGTTTCCTCTACAGAAATTCTCAATTCCAAACTTTTCTTTCTGTATATTTCCCTATACACATCTTTCTCTCTCCTGTTAACTGATTCATTTGTATAATATATGTTAGTAAAATTATAGCCGTTGTTTTCTAATTGTTACTTCCAGGTCTTCAGTCATATTATATATTTCTTTGTTTGATCTCCATGTTATTGTGTCCTTTCTGGATCCTATAACATTGATAAAATCATTTGTTTAATCGTGAGCAGGTTTTTCCATCCAGTTATCAGTCCAGCCCTGGAGGCCTATGAAATTTTCTTTTTTTTGCATGATAAAAATTATTTTTAAAATATGGAATTTATTAAATCACTTATACATAAGGTTAATACAACTGATGCATTGTATGATATTGCATGATTGCATGATTCTTTTTCTCTTTGAAAGCTCATTTCACAACTGAAGATCCATTTATAGAAAAAGCTTTTTCTTTTTTTTCATTACAGACCGTGGACCCACAGAGCTTAGTGGAGACCCTAAAGTGGCCAGCAGGCCAAAATGTTTGGAGACTCCGACCATACAATATGACTGGACTTACAAATGCACCATAATTTTACATTTATAGAGAGGTTATTTTTATTGTTTCGATTTTGTTGTTTCAATTTTTGCTTTTTTTCTTTCAATCACTGGTTTGTCCCATTTCTATGAATTAGTCTTCCAAGATATTTAAAATGATCCATGATCTTTACTTTTCCATATTTTATTTGTACTGTCGTTCTGAGATATTTACTGTCAGTTATCATCATTTCCTTTATATGGAAGGTTTCATTTCAATTATTTAAATTTAAACATGAAGAAATCGTACCAAGTTCCAACAAATGATTCCAATGGGTACAAGAACAAGATGTGATTATAAATAGGGTGTGTATATTATAAATTTCATATCTTTGGAAAAACGAGATAGGGAAAAACATATTTCATGTAGTTTTTTTTTTTTTGTTCTTGTATGAATTCTATTGCAGAAACTGGTGTGATTAAAGGGCTTGCTTGAAAAAGATTATTTCAAGTTCCAAAAAATCGAAAATTTCACAGAAAAATAGTTAACAATGATTTTAAAAAATTTATGAACAATGATTAATTATTATAAAGGTATTTTTCTGTAAATATATTTATAATTTTTGTTTTTAAATTAATTTGTTATTTATGAAGTGACTTTTTTCGCCATTCGGTAATCGAATTTTTTTGGTAATCTGACCCCCTTGGTTTTAATTAGTTTGGATTAGCGTTAGTCCACTGTATAAGGTACGCTCGAAATGAAGCCTTCTACTATCATCCATCGCTTATCAGACCTAAATCGGAAAAATTTATAATTTTGAAAAAAATCATGTGAGTTTGTAAGGTATACTTACATCATTATTTTACATTTAAATGCCCCCAAAAAATAAAACTGCAGGCCTATTTTTTCAGATGAATAATTTATTTGATAGCTTTTTGTTCTGACTCTGCAAATAGGGCTAGGTCATCAACAATGGCTAGGCATTTAATTTTAATGCCCTGGTTCTTTCTTCCTATTTTTAGACTCCAGTCATTGTATCTCCAAGAAGTATAAAAAGCATCAGTGAGAGACTATCTCCTTGTCTTACTCCTTAATCTCACTCATAAAATTAACCTTAGACACCATATTGGTAAATATGAGTTTTATTTAGCCGTTATTGGTATTCTTTTGAGCCAAAAGCGTTTTAAAAATCAACGAATGAAGTAAAAATTTCTTTAGGTCTTCTGTTGTATCTTAACATAATTATATCTCATTCATTAAAATAAATAATTTAAGATAAGAATAAAATACTAATCAAAAAAATAGAAAGCAAAGAACAGGAGAATAAATAAAATGAAAAACAATAGGAAATGGATGCTTTAGATGGCCATTGATAAATTTTTTTCCCACTTTTAAGCATATTTTAAACCTAAATGAATATATTATAATGTGTAGAATTTAAATCTCCAATATTGTTATTTTATTCAACAGTCAGGTCTATTGAATCTCCATTAGGAGTAAACCTTTTACACATCTGAATTTCAAAACAGTACTTTAGTTACCAAAATAAAATATTGGTGTAATTTACTGTATTTTGGTAATCCAAACGATTTATTTTTATATAGAGATATAATTGACATTCTTTCTTCGTTTGTGGAATGTCCTTGGTATAGGAGACCATTGGCCATGCTCAGAATTCCTCAGTCCTTTGAATCAGTCCTCACTGGGAGATAAACAATATTCTCTGATCCTATTAAAGTGTAGACATTTATTATGATATTTAAATTTCTGTTATGTGTTAACTACTATATTTTTTTCTATCAAGTTTTTACATAATTATCCCTTGCCTTTCTTATTTATTTTTCCTGTTGCTATTAACTAGCTATACTCTTACAATGGTACTAATTTCTTTGCAAGTAAAATGATCAAAACATGTTGTAGCTGTTCATCCAACATAATGAAAACATTGGTCTTCTTAGAAAGTTTTTTAACTCTTTTCAAATCCAAACTGTTCTATGGCCTTACTTAGGCAATACAATAAAAGTATCTCCTTATCTTCCCACCTCATTCCTGCATTCATTGAACATAATGGAGGAACTGGTTTTCGGGGTTTCCCACTCTTTAGTGAAACCTCCTCATTTTGATGGAGATTGAGGCATGTATGTCAAAGCCAAAATTAGTCACCATGAAATTGTAAAAAAATATGTTTTATTTTTCCAAAACTTACAGTTCGTTAAAAATTAAACTAATGTATAAAATTTATTTTATGATAACATAAAAATAAATGATTAATTCTTTCTGTATTTTTTCCCAAGGACTACCTTGTGAAATAAGATAGTTATCTTGCATCTAGACAATGGCTGGTAATCAGTTTAAGTATTTAATTTTCAGTGAAATATAAATACCCAAAATATTTTGTTTCTTTATTTTTTAAAACATAAAAAAAAAACTAAATTCGTCTTAAATTATTATTCATGTAAATTATTCTATGAAATATCCATCTATTTTTCCTTCTTTTAATATTGTAGACTACTCTTTTGGTTATTTTTCAAACTGAAAACCTAGTACTGTGTGAAAAAGAAAAAAAAATAACTTTTAAAATATTCATTAATATATTCTAAGAAAGATCTTCACTATTCAGTTTCCATGATAATGTTGGAATTATGAACGTTTAAATATAACTATAAAATGATTTTTTAGATTTATTTTCATCAGATTAAATCGCTTTCTTCAAAGTTCAAGAAATTTAGAAATAACTTTTATTTTATTTTTAGAATACTAAGGGCTACAAATATTATAATACACCCAGTAATATAAAAATAAAATTTAGAAATATTACTAAAAATTAAGAACATTATTTTTAGTTTATCAACCGTCCAAAAAAAAAAAAAAAAAAAAATTAAAAGTTTCTATTTCTCTGTGTCTTGGTATTCAAATAGCATTTTAATTCCATCTGTCTACAGTAACATAATGACAAAAATTGAAATAAAAATCATTGTACATTTATTTGAATATATATAGAAATATATGTTGCAAATATTTCTAAATAGAAATATATGGTGTTTAATAATACACATATATTAAGAATTTAATATTGTCAGTGTTTTGTTTTTAAACTTATTCCAAGATTTTGAAATTTAACAATATTTTATAAAATTCGTTTTTATCGAATATATAGATATTGATCAACGTTGATTAAAATGAAAAATAAGTATCTTTAAAGATAAATGATGATTTATTTCCTAATGATAATTCATTATTTAATGATAGATTATACAAGAATAAATCATTCTGAGAGCAAAGTCTAAATAAAATATTTAATCACAATTAATTCAAACTTCATTTCATTTTCTTTGAAAATTGGTATAATGAGTCAAAAACGTATCTAAAACCTACAGTGATTTTTTAAATAAAATGCCCCACTTCAACAAAGTCTTCACTTCGAATTTTATCATACACAGTTAAGCTTTATGGTGCTTATCATGTTTATATTGACTATCATATGACATATCTAAAAGCATCATTTTTTTTTTTTTCTAGCGTCACTATGAACCACTCAAAACCTATGATATTACCATCATCATGCAGTTATAACTCTGTTTAAGAAAATGGTTTTGCAAAAATAACACTTACCGAGAATACCGCAGACGTTATCTCCCACATTAAGGAATCCGCCGATATGATTGACGAAAAGTACCAGATATGCAAGAGCCATAGCCAGAGCATGGTTCATTAGAAATTTCCCAGGATTGTTTTGGAGTTCTTCAACGATCGCATAGACGAAGAGTAGAGCAAGCAGACACAAGAAGGAGACACCACTTCCAACAGACAGGAGTAAGAATTCCACATCCTCCTTTTCTCCTCCATGAGCAGAGGGCACATCTTCGACGCACACGAACACGCTCGGGTCCGTGCTGACGTTGTCAGACTCCAGACAGAACTGCTCCTCGAATTTCCCATTTAAATAGAGAAGTCTTCCGGAATCAAGTATTTGGTAGCGCTCTTCCTTAACCTGGTCGGGAAGTAGTGAATACAGGTGGGCACAGTTCAAGGGCTCGTATATTAGGCTAATCTTGCTAGTGGAGAGAATTCCAAGTGAGGAGTAAATAGGAGGATATCTAAAAGTACTGTTTGCCGCACCACATGTAAAATGAGACGATTCCGTCTGCAACCACTGCTGGCCTAAGGGACAGCACTTTCGCACTAGCGTTGAGTGGGAGCAACTGACGTGTCCGAAGAGTAGAAAGAGAACCAACATCTTCGCACGACTGCCTGATCCGAATGGCCTGGGAGGAAACGTTGCGTCACGATCTATTGTATAACAGTAATTGCTGGATCATATTGTAGTTGGCAATGCCACTGTCATATACAATGACAAATCTGATCAACTGAAAATGAGGAAAATAATAAACTTATTCACAATTATTGAATTATCTTAATATAACTTTGGGGTCGGATGAAATGAAGACCTATACATCTACATACTTGTCAAGCCACATTTGACTAGTTTTGTTTTCATTTTTTACATGAATAAATCATAGGTTCTGTCTCTCTTACTCTCCAGTGAAGGCCAGTTGTGAATATACCTATTCAACTTTAATAGCCTCGTTTTCATTGAAGACTTTTTTTGTCCCTTGTACGTTTTTTTAAAACTTATTTATTCAGAAATATTACAATCTGTCACAATTAAGGACATTTATAGTAGTTTTAATAGAGCATATTCACACTCCAGCTTGTACCTTAAAGAGAAAAGTGATTCACATTTCCAAAAAAAAAAAAAAAAATATTAAATCTATAAATCGAGTTGCACACGTTCAATCACATCTATTTGACATAAGCAGTTACGCTTTCACCTGAATCGGTCATTATTTGAATCAAATTTATTGAATAACGAATAGTTTCCTTATATTCTTTTAATAAATAATAATTCGATATCAATAAAGCTTTTATTAGTTTAATCAATTTTGATCGAACGGAAAATTCAAAAACTTAACCCTCTTTCAAAACTTGAGGTTTTACGTTTCAGGATACGTAGAATTCGAAAAACGAATAAAAATTTGTCCGTCCGCCGTCCGAGCATTTTCTCAGAAACTACTGAACCGATTTTTTTTTCAAATTTGGATTTAAAATTAGAGATCACCCTAGGAGGATCCCCCTTCACCAACATTTCTATCCGCCTTTTTCTTTCAAGATGGCGACCGAAAAATCTGCGTTGCTATAGACTGTAGCTCCTAAACGAATCAACCTATCTCAATGAAACTTCGCTAAAGTCTTCTTCTCGACGCCCTTTCAATTTATGTATATAATATACTACAACGAAAAGATGCTGGAAAAAAGTTAAGATGGATGGTAAAATTAGATTCCGAACAACTCAACAATATACACTTTTTTGTTGGTATTGTGATAAGATGTTTTAAAGGTATTTCAATTTCCTAAAAAATGAAGTAAGTTTCATCTGAATCAAAGCACTACTAGTAAAGATATCGCGATTTTTAAATATTTTTGTATATATGTTTATTTTTTTTTATATTGTTATTTAAAAGTTAACGGAATTTAAAAAAAAAACAAATCGTTAAAATCGGACTATTAGGAGCAAAGATATGGTCTCTAGATGGTTTTTATATGTTATACTGCAAAGGTTATATCCTTTGTGTTGGTTTTGATTTTTGTATGTCTTACTGAAGTAATGCTACTTTTTTAAGCATATTTTTAATGATTAAAAAAAATTTTTTAGTCCAATAATTGGAATCACCTTTTATTTATTTTTCTTTGTCACCAGGAAGGTAATGTTACTTCAGATGTATAAATGTTTGGAAATAATAAACCATTTTGAAATAATTTGCACCGTTTTTTTTAGTTTTTTTTAAAATAATATATAAGTGGCTTATTATAATTTAAACTAAAAATTTTTTTTAGAAAGGACAACAGTGTGATTCCTATCAAATAGAACACTTCACTTGCGCAAGATTTTCTATAAGGCGGCAATTTTCTAGAAGCAACAATATCTGATTGAAATCGCATTTTTAGATTTAAACAGATTTGTAATTACAATAAGAAATGCTCAATTCAGCACAAACATTTAATAAATACATCGACTAAATTTTTAAACTATAAATAATTGATTACTCTTGACATAGGAGCTGCTAAATAGGGCGGTATAAAAAAGTTAAACCTTTGTAAAACAAATTTGCTTTTTTCTACACTCCTTATTAGGCCATTGAATATGCCTTTCCTTTCTCATCGCTATACTGACTTTTCTGCCAATTTGGGTCGTATACTCAGTAAAGGAACTCCAACCATAGGCGTCCGCCCTTGGGAAATATAATGGAGGAAAGGGAAACAATTAACATGATAACTATGTTCAATGCAATGGTTGGAAGGAGGGTCATAGAACTATGAATAAAGCAGTAGTTCAGTAATCAGTTTATTACCTGCTACTACTAGAGGAATTCCAACGTCGGACTAACCTCTATTTTAAAATTAAACAAATGAAAGACAGAAATTGTTAAAGAAGAGAATAGTTGAAAACTTACATCCTGAACAGTTCGGAATAATCTTATCTGGGTGATGGAATTAGGGCGCAGTTTCCGGAAACCCGCACGGCGGCGCTGCTCTAAGGGCATTCCACCTTATATGTAAAATAAACTATTACACGATCATTAAACACTTTTTTATTATTAACTATAACGTTTCATCAACTTTTTTGAGTTATATTTAAGTAAATGACTGCGAAATGTTAGAGTGGTGAGCTTCTCTTCATAAAATATTGGAGAGAAACTGAAAGTGCAAATGGCACCAAATCTCCTGTTTAACCATTATCAGAATTACGAGGTTTTCTAGGACTCACTTCTGTCCAAATTCTAAAGTCTTGATCCTCTTTCTCTTTATTGAAAATCGTGCTATTATAAATTTGTATGTTAAAAATGATGATTTATTAAATTATTTACTAAAATTAATTATAAATTAATATTTGGTTTCATAGATAGTTATTCCTGAATGAGAAATTAAATTCAATATGTATACAAATTTTTCTCAAAATTAGAAGTGAGGAATACATACATTATCTTCATACGAAATAAAATTTATTCTTTGAAATGCAAAAGAAAATTAATAAAACATCTAAGCTCAAAATATTGTATGCATTTTTTTTTTATAATCCCAGTGAGCTCCTTCAAAGCTAAAATAATTGAAATTAATGAATGTTCATATTGACTTTTAACCTCAGTAACTCAAGAGAATATCATGCATTGAAGTAGATGCGATAAAATTTGCTACTCCATGAAAGAATAATGTAAGTTTTCATTTCTTCTTATTTAGATATTACTCATTGTTATGATCACATTTTATGACTATTATATTTTATATTTTTCTATAGATTTATATTTTTATTAGTTATACAATGTTTTTTTGTTAAATAAAAAGCTAAGGTCCTAAAAAAAGATCAATATTTTATGCATTTGAAAATTCCATATGTAGAGGTCAAACACTTTTCTATTTTAATATTATAAATAAATACTTACAACCTGATATATTCAACATTCATCAGAACAAAAGTACGTACCTGGAATAAAAAAAATAATATATTAGTCAAAATAATATTTTATCAAAAAGAAATAATAAGGGATTTAATTCAATATTAAACAGATCACGTGTAGAATATATATTTTTATCTTAAATCACTTATATCTCTCTTTAATTGCAGGTTTAGGCAAAATGTAAGTATGTTTTTTGTATAAAATAAGTAGCTGACGGTCTTGTGATAAGTAATACAACAATTGCTGTACTCGATGGAATACTGAGGTAAATACTGGAGTGTTTATTGACTTGAAGGAATTGAGTTAGCAGAAACAGAACAGCTGGAATAGACAAGAGGTAAGATATAACAATGTAACCTGTTTTGAAGATAAAAAAAGACATTCATTGCGGTGCGTAGCGAGTCATTAAATAGTTCAATCCTGTGAGTGAGCAGGTTTTCCCACGTCAACACTTGGGAATTGTTGAACCTACTTCCAGGTAAATTACTTAGATTATTTATAAGATTATGCATATTATGTATGAGATGACTAGGTCGTTATAAGTTTTAAAATGCTAATTTAATTTTTTTTTTTTAGTAAAATATTAATTCATCGTTTTATATGTTAATGAATAATGTATTAATGGTGGCATAACTAAGTTTCTGCTTTAAAAATCCGAGAGTCTAATAAATTATGTTGAGTATCTGTTCCCCAATATTGGTATTTTTAATTTATAAAAAAGTACTAATTTGGGGAAAGCATGGTAGCTGAATGTGTTCGCCTCATAAGAGCGGTAGCTCATATGTTGCGGATCTCGTGTATGATTTGAGCAATATCAGCGATCATCAAAATGATCTTCCGAAGCTAACAATATAACTATTGGGTTGGCAAATAAGTCCTTTCGGTTTTTCATGATGAAATAAAACTCAATGTATTATAGACATACAATTTATTTTAACCTACAATATATTGGACATTATTCAATATGACTTATTCCCATTTTTCAATTAACTGCACAATGCCATAGAATATCTGGATTTCATTGTTAAAAACTGATCCAAGTGGTTTTTGATCTTTCTATTGGAATTTCTTTCCATTGGAATTTCATGGAGTTCTGCATAGACCGGAATAAGTGGTAGTCACTTAGAGCTAGGTCTGGTGAATAGGGAGGGTGGGGCAAAAGGTCCCATCCAAGGCTCAATAATTTATTGCTAGTGACCAATGAGGTGTGGGGCCTAGCGTTGTCTTGGTGGAACTCAACACATTTCCGATTATTATTCATAACTGTTCAGGATGTTCTCCAAATTCGATGTTACTATATCCGTTGGAAAGCTGAATTATTTCTTTTTAAAGCCGTATGATTTTTTTTTGATTTTTTTATTTTATGGCCACATAAGGAATAAATACACAAAAACTTCTTGTAGGTTTTTATTTTTATCTCCATTTGTAGTTTATGTGGCCCTAAACTCATGCTAAATTTCTTGTAGATAGCTAAATTCGTATTAAAGTTGTTATTTTAGAGAAAAAAAAATCATGTGAAGGACCCAAACATCAAGCCTGGAAACATAGCCGAGCTTGGGCAAACGGTTTTCTACTCTTGTATGCGACATATCCAGGGCCTTAGCAATCTCTCACACTGATTGGGTGGAATTTTGATTGGGACATTGCTCGTTTCAATTTCACGTGGGCGAACAGATCGTTGAGCATCATTGATCAAATTTGGCAAATTAATTTTGACAGGTGC